GGCGTCTGATGGTTGGGGGTTTAGGCTGTTTTAGTAAAAAATTTACTTTTGTATTACAAAACATAATCAGGGCACACAAACTTAGACATTTGAAAATATATTGCTCTCCGATTTTTGGATATAGAGAAAAAAGTAATGACCACAAGACAAACATAGAGACAACTTTCCTTTGATGCCAGTTGGTTTTAGTTGTATCTTGTGCCCACGACATTTTCACCTTTCAAAGTCAAGAAACCTAAACTTCTCCACGAGGAGAGTTTTCAGCTTTAAAAACATAACTCAGCAAAATAAGTAACGGAGGCCAAAGCGGAAACTAGCAGAGAAGAGCATAAAGAGTAATGCAAGAAGTCGGCTTTCATTTCCACTTTCGGCGCCTTAGTTGTGGAGCGTGTGAGTATGAGCAACAACAGAAACCTGAATGAAGTACACCATTGAATTGAAGAGGAAAATATTGAAAAAACAGTTTAAGTAGTGAAGAGAAAAAACGGCAGAGCAGCAACCAATAACACATCTTCATTAAAATGAAGATGATGAAGACAGAAATTAAAGAATCACAACAATAAAAGCAAACAACAACAACTTCAACGCTCAACTCTACTATATACGGACTATCAGCGGCTTCCCCCAATGCGAATGAACGCAAACAAAAACGAACGAGTGAGCAAACAACAATGAGCAACACAATGATGTTGTAACAATAAAACGAGCAACAACTACAACAGCACAAAATCATCAGCATGGAAATGATTGTAAACGAAGTCGGTGAGCAACAAGTAAAACGTCATCGACAAAGAGGGCGGTGACGCATGCGCATCCAGCGGTAGCGAGATATGCAATTATACAGTGAAAAAACTGTGAAAAAGGTGATGCATAACAAAAAAGGAAAAACAGTCGGAAATCTGCGACGAAACTGCGGCACAATTACCAGCGAGCATTGAACTGGTTGTGTACTGGAAGTGCAGAAGGACAGCAGATAGGCGAACGAAGGAATGGATTGAATCAATCGCACGAATAAAATAATTCACGAGCGAACGGGCAAACCGGCAAATGGACGGGTGTATGGACGTAATCAGAGCCAGAGGAACCATGTGTAGTTCGGATGACCTCACGGATGTGCGAAGCTTGATAGTGGTGGTCCGCTGACCAACCATCTAAGCCTGAAAGTGTGAGCAATGTGTGGCTCTCAATAATTGAAGAGGTGGACGAACGGCTGCGTCGTCATCATTTCGTAGTGCCAAACCGGTTACTGGCAACATTTAAAGCGTTGTTATTACTTTGAATACATATTATTGGAGGGAGTGCTTGCACGCACAGTCAGAGCACCACCAAATTGCGAAAACGTCTGCTAACGGCCACCGAGGGTCGGTCGCGGACACGCAAAAACCGGTTAAAAAAGCGACTAGCGAAATGAAACTAAAAAACCAACCGACGAGATACGCGGCAGAGACTGAGCAGTGCGCTTTGACTTCATTATTTGCTGCTGTCTTTTTTAGGCCATTTGTGTTGGCCATTCGCGCACGTTTTGCAGTGTATTTGCGAAATGCTGCTCTGCGTTCGCTGACTTGTTAGCGTGCCTCACTCTGCGTACCTAACAACGATGACCGTATTTCCGTTTAAATTCAGTTCGCTTCACAATTCTGTTGCATGCCGCAGCAGAAAGCAGCTTTCGGCTTGAGCAGGCATTTTGCAGGCGACATTCAGTCGCCACTGTCTTTGCGTGTGCGCCAACAATGCGAATGTCTGATATTGCAATGTTGTGCCAAACGAGTTACGTGAATGAAGTCAAGTGGTTAGACAGCGCAACGATGTATCTGTCTGGCCAGCGTGACAGTGAGCCAGCGAAGGGGGGCTTGCCTTTTGCGTACGCATAAAGCAATCTTATTCAGATATGTGTATGTTTGTAGCTCAGCATTTATGTATGTGCAGGTGTAGGTATGTACGATCAACTTGCCGTCCAATTGCGTGAAAACAGCAGGTGGCGGTGTTGGGTCGCAATCCGTTTGAGTGCGCGCACAAACATTTATTTATGTGCATATTTGTGCATGTGTGTGTAGAACTAGTGATTTTTGGCTAGTTTATTTGCTTTTGGTTGCAGTTTCTTTATTTTTGGCTTATTTTTTGTCGCCTTGCAGCTGCAACCAGATTTTCGACTCGCTTGCAGGCCGTCAACTTACTTTGTGCGATGTGTAGATATCCAAAACCGATATCCTTGAAAAACTCGCTTCACGGTTACATATTTACAAAAGCACCTACCGAAGCAGCTGCGCAAAGCCGTTGAATGTTGGGCCCGTGCTGCGTATTGCGATTCGAAATACAAAATATTCGAATTCGAATAAATGCTACTACGTAATTCGATAATAGCATTTCAATCCGAATGCTGCCAAATTCAACGCGAATGCGACAGTGAGTTCTATGCGAAAATGGCAAATATCATTCGGCAAGAAGCTAGCATTCGGGACAGTTGGAAAATGTAAGATCATCACGGCATCTTTTGTGTTTTTTCTTTTCTTTTATACACGTATAACACATTTTTTTAGGGAAAATAAGTCAATGAACGCACATACCAAAATAAGTCCCAATTGAAAATCTTGCCTTATTTGATGGGGGTAACCACCTTGAACTAAAAACTTCAAAGCAGCTGCCAGTCTTGGGACTGGGGGTATTGCAACAAAACGATGAGGAGCTTTTAATTTCGGCTCAATACTATTTAAAACGTATAAAAATGCTTCTTTGCTGAGTCGAAAGTTTTAAATAAAACTGTAAGAAGCACATACCGTCAAAGGATATTTCCATGATACAATAACTTAATCTGACATTAAACGTGTTTCTCGTAAAAAAATCAATCCTTTTTAAATCAAAATATGTGGAGAATTACCATTTATAAATATGTAACATTTTGAAATGTTTAATCATTCAAGAATCACTTAATATATAGTATTTTCCAACCCCTCATAGTGGACTTCATCGAGTGTATGCCTTTCATGATTCTTAGATTACAGCTTTAGTAAATTGTAAGAAAGTAGCGGAAAGTGAAGGGATTCGCCAACCAAAATTCAAGTCGAATTCAAGAAGATGAGGAGCTGGCTGGGTTTGCTATATCTGCCTTTGAATGCAAATCAGTCTCACAGTTGTAGAGATATTTCAAGGAAATTTAGTTGTTGGTTATTTAGAGCACTGCAAATTCATTATAAAGTTCTCATATTTACGCTAAAAGTCCTTTCGGTCGATTAAACATTTCAAACACTTTCGAATGCAATCTTATCGCTAATTATATTGATATTAGTGAGTTAGTTAGTTAAACAGCTTGCTCGATCATCTTGATGGTACCTATGTCGGTTCTATGAAAAAGATTCCTCTCACCTTTCCAGATGCTCAAACCACTTGATGTATTTTACGAAGTTCAGGAGATTAATGAGATATGCAAGCTATGCTAAGCAATCGGAAAAGATATTTTCGAGAAATCGATAAGGGACCGCAGAGTTTACCGGGAAAACCTATAAGCCTAGGTTTCGACAAAAATTTAAGACTGTCAATTTTTTTCCCTTTGGCCCCATAGGGACTAGTTCGGAAGATGCACGTCTTTTTTAAATTAAAACTATTCCAAGTCATATGCGTTTATGGCATCTTTCATGTACATGAAATGATATTTTAACTTTGGACCGAAGTATGTACGTATGAGTATGCACCAAAACAGATAGACCCATAAAAAACGCCACCGATCGGATCGAGATGACGAGTTGAGTTGATTTTTGCTCGTCTGTTGTTCCTCAACTTCGAGATTTTTTAACCAAACTGTAACATATACATACATACGAGTGCATAGCTCCAATATACCGATTTTTCGAGATATGAGACTTTGGTCCGAAGTCCTTCGAAGACTACATACAGCCACCAAACAACCGATTTGTTCAGCTATGAGACTTAATATTTCATTCTAAAATGATTTCGCGCGGTCGAAGATATCGCTTCTGCTTTGCTTAAATTAAAACTATGTACATATGTATGTATACATGTGTTCGGATATTTATGATTTTAAATGTAATTAAATTTAAATTTTTATTTCAACGATAATTTCAACTTGTTACGTAAGGATTTCAAGAAATTAACGACGGACCCTAAGCAACCGAAAGTGAATGAAAATTAAATATAATTAAAATTAAGCACAATTAAAAGACAACACAATCGCATATTGCGAATGTGGTGCAAATTCATATTGGCTAAAAATAAGTCGTTTTAGGTTTCGAACCTTAAGTGATGCCGCGTGCACGCCTTCGTCTCAATCGGGATAAAGAATATACACACATACAAATATACTTATGTGCATTTAAATAACTTAATGTATGAGCATTCTTACTCGCAAAAATATTAGCGAAATTTGAAAATATTCTTAATTTTTCTTTGAAACGTTCGTGTGCCGACAGCCGCATATAATGAATTTCTAAAAATAAAATATTTAGAATCCGCAACGAATGCTCGCTTGGCTAATTTTAGCCTCACTTGACGCCGCATTCGCTCGAATTCCCTTGAAATAACTTAAATACAATTACTTACTTTTCTACACTCACTATCAGCTATACATATGTACGTGTGTATGTATATGTATATATGCATGTATAAATTTTTTTTTATGTTATTTATTGTTGTACTTTTAAACATTTGTTTATATTATTCATGAGTTTTTGTTTTTGCTTGAGCGTGGTGACGACATTTGGAAATATTCTCGCCTTTTGCATTTTTACACATAAATTGTTCTTGAACTGAAAAGTAGATATTTAATGTCAGTGTCAATGCGTAGGCGGCTCATCCACCACAGCTGCGCCGAGCCGACATACCAAAGTCGCTTAGTAATTGCCGCGTAGCAGCTTTGTTTGCCGACCATACAATAAAATACACATTTTCTCATTTTAATTCTATAAGCAATAAATAACGGTGTGTTGCTTTCCTAAATTCTGCAAGTGATTATTATATTTTTTTTTTCTTTTTTTGTTCTTCTCTTTCAGAAACAATAGTGAATTCACGCAAGTCAGCGTTGGAGAATGCACGTGAAAGGCTCAAAGGTGAGTGTATAAAGAGAGTACATATGTACATATATACAAATATATAATATATATATTGGCATAAATGTATTATTTCAATCGCGGAAGGTTTTCTCGCAACAATTTATTACAGTAAACGTAATGATAAAATCTACAATAACAAAAACACCTAAAGTTGCTGCTATTGTTGTTGTTTATTTTGTTGTACATTAATTTGTTTCCCTTCATCCCTTGAAGCTTATGCATGTTTTTGAATTTTTATTTAATGTTTGAGCGTGTGTCAACACCAGCGCAGAAGCTCTCTGTGATGCTGCGTTTGCGATTACAAGGCGTCAGTAATGTGATGTAAGAATGCCTATGAGTGTAAATAATGTGGCAACCTTGAACTTAAATTGCAAAAAGGTGTGTAGTGGTTATGAAATGCATACTCATGTGACTGTATATTCATACATACATACACTCAATTTCCTTTGTATAATTCAATTATGGGAATCACTTATAGTAAATTCTCGAAAATTAATCTATGAAAACCAATAGACCATTTTGACCTCTCTCGCGCCCAAATTCACGAAACCTCCTGCGCAACAATGTATATATATTGAACCAACGGGTGATCCAAGTAGAGGTCATATTATTCTTATATTTTGTCACGAAAAGACTTGCAAATCGTTCAACTTTATTCCAAAATATCTGTATAGAATGTGTTTCGCGGGCTCGCTCCACTGATGGTCAAGATAACCGGCCTACTGAGTACTATTCGCAACACCATCACCCGTCTTGAGATCCAGCATTCATTATTGGATAATATTTGACCGAATAGTCCACGTCCAGCACGAAGTGAAGAAAATATGGCGGCTGCAACTGAGATTGTGCACGGAGAGTCGATGCAGCACACACTCAGATTGACGTTTGGAACAACTTAGACCAGTTTACGTCGATATCATAAATCGAAAGCGTACAAAACACAGTTTGTGCAAGAAGTGTAGCCGCGTGAGCTTCCCAAGCGACATCGCTTCACTCTATGAGCCCTTAAAAAATTTAAAGAAGACCCGACGTTTACGAGCCAAATTTTGTTCAGCGATGAGGCCATTTCTGGCTCAGTGCGCATGTAATCTATAAAATCCACGCATTTGGGATGAAGAGCAATCTGAAGAGACTCAAAATCTGTCCTTTCATCCAGAAAAAACAACGGTATGGCTTGCGGGCCGGTGGAATCATCGGTCCATATTTCTTCAAAGATGATGCCGGGGAGAACGTAACCGTCAATGGCGACTTTTACCGCGCCCTGAGCCTTGTTAACCGACTATTTGATGCCTGAAATTAAAGCACGTGATCTCGGCGACATTTGGTTTCAACAAAGACGGCGCCACCTTCAACCAATTGAAAAAAAAAAACAGATATTTTCACGTTTGGACTAGTCGTTTGATGTGTTTTTTTTTCTTTAAAAAAATAGGAAACCTCGAAATGGATCTGCAGCCCAAATAATCCCTTTGTTATAAATTAGCATACGAAAATAGTTAAGTGCACTTTGGCATTAGATATTTTATTTTTTAATCTTTTTAAATTATGATCAATAAAACTCTGAATAAATTAAAGGAAACAAAATGAAATAAAAAGGAATAAATAAGCAAATTTAGGTTACCTTTAAGATATGGTCTTCTTTACTTATTTTATTTTTTATTTGATTTTATTGTTAATTTTTAGATTTAGACCCATACCACCAACCATGAGCATTTTATACAAAAACACAGGCTCCCAACTAACGTCAACCCAATATTTCAGACAAACATTCGTATGTAAGGTGGACAAACAAACAAACATCCCCGTAAATACACTTATTTTTAGTCACGGGCCGTACGTTTGTAATCCAAGGTCAAAATCTCCATACACAAAATTTTCATTTATGAATTGAGGAGATTCCTGGGCAAAACCCATGCACTTGTTATTCTCATGCATTCATATTTCGGGACATTTCAAGGAAAACCCCAAGTTCCGTTCAACAATATATACATACTCGTACATGCATATGTACATATGTACACACTTAGCTTTGCACAATGTAAAACCTTTAAAACAAAAGGGGATTCCTAGGTAAAACTCATCTTCAAAGCAATCAAATGCGAGCACAAGGCCTTGGAACAAGTGCACTCCGCACAGGTATATTGCAATATCCTCGAGCAAACATACACACGTACGTGAATACGCGCTTGAGTGTGCAAACGATTGTATTATCCGCTGAACTCAAGCACTTGACCTGAACCCGCCAAATGCAGCATTTAAACGCATGTACATACAGACACACACACACACACTCACCACTCACACACAATTCAAGTGTGCAACAATGCATTGTTAATCCATTTAACGTCAACAACCAGCTACAATTACACTAAGTAAGCCGCCGCCGGTGGCAGAGCTCATTGTTAGAAATTTAGTGAAATTACATACATGCATACATATGCATGTGCATACTATTATTCATATACACCTACTACACTGAAAGGTAAAATGTGTGAAATGAACACTTTTGCCCACTTATCTTCTGAACCGCTCATCGAGGAGATAACGAAAAGGAAAGGCAAATGAACTAACCCAAATTATTTGGAATTTTGTGCGGTGAAATCTGATGACCAAGTGACACTGTGATGCTATGGCCCTAAACGCATACATGCATACATATAAAGGGTGATTTTTAAAAGCTATAGGAATGTTTTTAAAAGAAAAAATCAGGAATTTCAAAAAAATGCATGAAATCTTCACTTGAATCGATAGTGCGGTCCATATAATTTAATGTTTAAAGATTACTCTTTCCAACATTGCGGCCCATATTTCACGAATAAATGTTTCAATGCCGTCAATTGAAGCGAGCTTGTCTGTATAGACATTCGATTTAATATTGCGCCACAAAAAAGAGTCTAAAAGCGTTAAATCGCAAGATTTAGGCGGCCAATTGACCGGCGCCGAATGTGAAATAAAATGTTCACCAAACTCACCTCTCAATAAGTCCATTGTTACGCGTGCTGTGTGGCATGTGGCCCCGTCCTGTCGAAACCACATGTCATAGAAGTCAAGTTCCTGTGTTTTGGGCAAAAAAGGTTTGCTATGATCTCACGGTAGCGCTCATTATTCACATCATATTTGAAGAAGTGCGGTCCAATGATTGAAGAAGTACGGTCTGGATGCATTGGCAGCTCTTGCTGATCTTTACTCCAAAATCGAAAATTCTGTTTATTTACACACCCATTAAGATGAGCTTCGTCGCTGAACACAACAGAGCACGCATTTTGATAAGAAAATTCAATAATCTGCAAGCGTTGTTCGTTTGTAAGACGATTCATGGTTAAATTATAGGAAACACCCTGTATATGAATGTATATATAGCAGAGATGCTCAACAAACGCAACGATATCATTCCGTTTCTCTAAGAAGAAAAATTAGCTTAATGAAATGAAATCAATAACGTTGAAACCACACAGAACAAATCGTTTGCGTTAATTTTAAAATTACTACTTATCATTAACGACAGCGTCTCGTTTCGGATAAAAATGAAAAGAAATTTATTTTGATAGCTGCTTTACCGTTAATATTTCGAAATGCTTCAACCGAAACGAAAACACTTTTTCGATTTACGTGAAATTTATCGTTACGATGTATGTATGTTTGTGAAAAATTATAGATTCGTATAACACAACACCGAGCTGTCGCGATTTCTCTTGCTCTAAATGGCAATAACACCTTTGGTTATCGCTGCTGGTCCGTTGAGGGAAAGGTTAAACATTTGGTACTCGTACACACCTACAGACATTCATATCATTGAACTTTTAGCCTAACTTAATAATTATCCCTGTTGATGAGTACAAATTTGGACAGGATGGAAGAAATTTAGTCCAGAATGCTGCGATTACTACGATGAACATAGAGGAGCCGCAAAATTTGACTACATACATATGTTAGCCAATTACTCAACACATACATACACTCGTTGTCATTTAGCCTGGTTTGACCAGTCGCTCGATTGCGCTTTCCATCGATCGATGACTTGGTAAAAACCTACTATTGCTGCGATTCCGTTTCAACAGTTCACCGATTGACGGACGAGCGTAACCAAACTCCCGATCAGTGATATTCATATTGCTTAAAAACGCCCACATGTAGCCACCAAACGGGCGCACACTCTACCCTGAAGAAAAATTATCTTCGTCGACTTCGTCTTCCTAGACATTCGCAGTCCAGACCAGTCGGGTTTTCAGTCAGTTGTTGAGTCTTTCAGCTGGTCGAGTGATTGCATTGAGATTGGTTTATTTATTTTACATTTTTAATGCCGCCATCTACAGCTAAAGAAGGTGGTAGAGTGCGCGTGGGGTTTTCATTGGGAATGTGAGTTGGCTGGTGTGTCTGTAAATAAATAATAGCATTGGCATCGTCAATTCGATGTTATTGCTTACATTATTGCTTTTTGTCTGTTTTGTGGCAGTTTCATTCCATTGCTGTCGTAGAATCGCGAATCGCCATTGTGGCGACGCACATAGCGCATTCACCGGTTTTCATGCCGCACCTCTATTAAATCAGTACGCCCGACGCCACCGCCGACATTTGTACATGTTTGGTTGGTTAATCTTCCGGACACCGCGGGCACATCGGAAGGGGCGACTCCGAGGTATTTCGATCGCAGACTTGCGTCGCCAAAGTGTTATGTGGCGCACACGACGTAAATATGTCTCTAAATATGTTGGTGTGCGCGCAATTTTGCTTTGACTCAGGTCGCTTTGATTATCTGGCCGTTCCCCTCCGTCGTCTATCTTCGAATTGCTTTGGCCGCGTTTTTTGCTGCCTCAATGTTGTATGGATGGCCGTTCTGTTTTTATATTCGCTTGTTTTTGTTGTTGTCTTTTTTCTTTTCCTGCACTTGACAGTTCTTAACATATCTTTCACACATATGCGCATACTCGAGTGCATTTCGGTCGTCTGCCCTGGGCAGTTGTTGCTCTATTCGTTTCCTCCACTAGTTCGCTTTGTTGGCT